GGAAAACATGAGAAAATCAAGAAGCCGATGGTGGCAAAATAGATGCACCTAGACCTAACCCAGAGCGGTAATAAAATATTCTGTACTCGACACCACTTATTAGAAACTCCAAATTCTCGCTTACCGTAGTGAGTGATCATAAAAGAGGGGATGGTGAGAACTCAGTACCGGAAAACTGAGTGAGGTAATCAATACCATGCTTGTAGTGCGCTTCCATGGTCAACATAAAGGTGTAAACTTTTCACTATATGCTGACGTCTTTAGACAAACGGCCATGTGGTCATTGAACACACATACACAACTCCGAAAACCTGTACTCGATGAGCACTTGCATTGCGAACGATACAAAAAGTATTGTAAGACTGTTTGCTGAATTTTGGGTTTAACTGGATTTGATCCGCATACTTTCACGTTGTATTACAAACATACTGCAGCATTTTTCACGCTTGTGTACATTGTGTATGGATTCGAATTCATAGCGAAGACCAGAACCAAAACCGACTATCTATCAACCTTTGAAGCGATTAAATAATTACCGGTTACTCCATAAAAAGACGCGACATTGTTACATTCAGCGCATCGCACGGACACTGCGATGTCCAGACGGCAGAGACTAAATGCCTTTCAAAACCATTTTTAAGCTTTTAGAAACCTTTTCTAAGGCCTTTTACAGCTTGGTAAACCAACTATCAGACCGACGGTCTCGAGAAATTAGTTCTTCTGAACTTTACTTAATACTGATGAGTGACTAGTAATTACTAAATAAATAGTGTTAATGAAAAATCTGTTCAGTAGAGTGCTGATTGACGTGTCATTATTTCCGCCTTCTTCTGATTCTTAAAAGGTCAGATTGGCGTACATTATAGCTAGTTAAGACTTTCATAACCTCAGCAGAAATAACATGGCGAAAGTTTTATGTTTTGCGTATCGACTTTTTTCCTCAGTGGATATGGAAGTGTTTGAATAAGTGAATTTTGTGATATTTTGACCTTTCAACCTTTTGAAAAACGCGAAACATGTTTCACACGTTTTATAGATTTCAATGAAGATATTCCTCCCACCTATGCTCAGCTAACACCATAAATATTTTCGTTTTCTTTTGATGTAGAGACACATAGTTCTATTCAACCAAGCACTTTCCTAATCGAAGCAAAAAATTGCTATACACAAATTACGTAGGTTTTTTAGCCAGGAAGTGCTTAAAAAATTTGCGCAAAAGTTTTCCGTGCTGTGGCTACGAAAGTGGTTGACTAAGTATATTGTCCTGACGTGGTTGGAAAAGGTTAAATTGCCTGAACGTCAAGCAGTATCGCATTGAATTAACTTTACTGCTAAAAACCTCGTGTCTGGTTATCATGAAAGGAATGAATTTTGTATGAAGCTTAATTTCCGAAAATGGGACTACTTCCATACAGAATAACGATACCGAAAAACTTACAATTCATTCTATCTACTATTCGGAAACAAATGGGTTTTTGGAACTTCAAAAAAGCACAAAAAAGTAATTCTGCTTGCATGGGAAGTTGTCTCAATAAAAATAAGTGATATCAAAATTAGTGACCCTAGTGTCAAGAAATGAACACTCCTAAAATCAAAAGCGTCCCACAAAGTATGAAATTGCTTAAATTTACTGAAAACAAGATTTGAAACGCATTGAACTTCAGTCTCTGACGTTACGAACTAAAAAGTTTAGTTACATGGTAAAAATTACTTCGGTAACTGAAAGCAAGTTTTGGTGGTGATTTTAACTCCATATGAGGAAACTGCTCGCGGAAGGTTTCCACAGTGCTATGGATGATATGACGATAAAACGCTTCTCAACACTCTTGCTCGAGGTGTTCATGCAAAACTAATGTACTGCGGCTCATAGTCATGAAATACTTTTGTTGTGAATTTTTCAGAAATACTTTATGTCAAGAAACAAAATATTAGCTTCAAAAATAATTCTAACGAAAAGGGCAACGTGGTACTAGTTATATTTTAATCCGCTGTTTTCTCATCGCGTCTTTTCTTGAAATAGACTTTTTGAACAGCAACCTTTTAGCTGAACTGATAAAGTTCTCCTCGATTTATTCAAACTGTGCAAAGTGAATGTATTTTGAAAAGGCTAAACAAACATGCGGAACCACTAGAAATCCAGAGGGGTTTTCAAATGGTAGCCAGTGGAATATGTAAAATATTAGGTGACTTGACACTTATGGTAGTCGCATTCCTGCTAATTACCGATTGACACCTGGTGACACAAGTAAAAATACCATTTGGGCCTGTGTCTACCATTTTCGTATGTAGTGCTATGATTAGAGGTGTGCTGTAATACACATTCAATCGAACAATAGTTCCATACGATGCCTCGGGCCATTCTCATGGCAAGGGAGCAAGTGGAGAAGTTAATTCACCCAATACTGTGTCCACAGAAAACGTTGACGACAAGATATACAAACAGTGTTTTCGGCCTGTATACACATTAAACCGCTACGAATAGTTATTTGCTCATATAGACTTCTAACGTCCTTTTCACTATACCAACTAGAAGTGGCGGGCAGTGTAATGTCAGAACTAATAGTCCCGTTTGGTATGCTTCAAATTCTAGATTTCTCGTATGGCTTGTATTGAGAGATGCCCTTGTATCCTAGCAAGTTGTCTACTTAATGCACGATTTTTAATGTATGCTATGAAAGTGATATTTTTCAGTCCACAACATTAATCAACTAAAATCGAACCACTGGAGTTTAGATTTCTCGCATGGCTTGTATTGAGAGATGCCCTTGTATCCTAGCAAGTTGTCTACTTAATGCACGATTTTTAATGTATGCTATGAAAGTGATATTTTTCAGTCCACAACATTAATCAACTAAAATACGAACCACTGGAGTTTAGATTTCTCGTATGGCTTGTATTGAGAGATGCCCTTGTATCCTAGCAAGTTGTCTACTTAATGCACGATTTTTAATGTATGCTATGAAAGTGATATTTTTCAGTCCACAACATTAATCAACTAAAATACGAACCACTGGAGTTCACACATTTTTTGCCAGTGTAAAGGTTGTTTATGTACGACAGAACGTTGAAGTTACACAGACAATGAAGTTCTTGAAGACAGTTTCGGCTTGTCGAGACGAAAATGGCAGTTGTTAGTTGAGAATTGTGGTGAATATGCTGGCTGAGCTGAAACTACGTAGTCTAGTTGGTTTGACTTCCGCAACGTTAGTGTTACGAAGTGTGGTCGTGCGTTATATCAGGGAAAAATCGGTTCCTTTCTGATGACTAAAATTGGACGCGTAAATCGAAGTTTGTGTTACAGTTAGTTGATCATTTAAGCGTGCTTTATCGCCGTAATCGTTTTAACTGGGGCGTCGTGGCCGAGTGATTGTGACGCTCGGCGCGTAGCGCTTGGAGTTGAGCTCCATCCCCCAACCCTCATCCGGTACTCAATAACAATGCCTTATGAATGCCATAGTTAGGCTGTTCTCGAAATTGCAAAGAGATTCGCTCAACTAGTATTCTACGACGTTCAATAAGATGACAGAAAAGAACGAATTTGATGCTGGAATTACTGGGATCCGCACAGTGGAAAAAAAACAGTGTGAAGACGGATCAAAGTGTCAAAAAAGTGTGAATCGTTTAACTCGGATTCAAGGAGCTTTATGGATCGAATCAACGACAAGTACCAAATCGCCTGCATAACATTCACCTTGCGTGGCTGCGGCTTCCGAAGTGGTACGAAGCTATTTTCAGGACCGACTATCTATCAACCTGTCAAATGACCCACTGTTTTCTTGATAAGCAGGCATGATGTTGATAATAACAACATTGATTCAATGCAACATTGACGGACGTTTCAGCGGCGTCGCCTTCTTGAAAACCTGGAAACCTCAAATTAACATGCAGATACTCAGTGAGACACTTCCGTAAACTTCACATAAAAGGTTTGAAACGTAGATTTCAAAATGTAAGGTGAACAACCTCCATAATTACTCACCGTCTTGTTTTTTCAAAAGGCTTCCCGCCGTCTTGACCCTGCGTGGAAAACCCCGCATGGAGTAGGAAATGTGCCTGGCTCAAATCGGAATGAATGCGCCCAAAGTATGGACCAAGATCACGCGTCATCACAATAAATTCCTCTTTGTGGATCATTTGTTCGGTTTCCGAAAGTTATTCGACTGCAACGAAGCCTCATCATTGTCCATCCACTGGGCCAAACGTCGCTGGTTGCCATAGAGGATCTGATTGCATCGTACGCTGAAATACAATCATGAAATAGATTGTTCTCGTTGCACGAAGGGCGGACGAAACCTCAGAACAACGATTTTTCAAATTAGTGTGGTATTCATTGGTCCAGCCCGTACTCTTCAACTATTCTTAGATGCTCGGCTACAGGTGGATCTCTGTACTAAGTCCTTACACGGGTTTTTAAATAGATTTTGTTTGAATAAGGCTTCATGAAAGTCTTAAATTCATCGTCGCCAATTTCAGTAAGATGTCCGCTACTCTTCTCATCTTCAAGATCAGATTCACCACGGAGCCTACAAGTGGTCTCGCACCGCATCAATATTTCAAGCCATTTGAGCTGCACTATGTTTCAGTTTGAGTACGTAGAAGTAGGTTTTTCCGACACAACAGCTTGTGGCTGACCAATGAAACTGGTCAGTGTTGCTTTACTTCCAAAATGTGTGACAGGTACCAATAGCCCGTCCTCGAAAGAATGTGAGGCTTGGTGAGCACGGATCATAGAATCGAATCACCGACCACGTGTGTGATCTTCTGTATTCTGCAATGAAAGGCACGTTTAGTCGCCATGCTATACACACTCTATTTTTCTATCCAGATTGTGATGGACTACTTTTACACATTGCGCCAATCGTAGTACCTATTCTGTGTCTCACGTCGTCTTCCAGCCGTCATCTATGGGGAGAGTTCTACCTGTGTTTGCACTACGCAAGGTTTTTAAATTTCGAGCAACATTTCTAGAGTTAGAGTAGAAAGAGTGAAGTGCAAATCGAGCGTTGGTAGTACATCGGTTTAGCACATGCTCCCGGAAAGAACAAAATCTGGGTTTGAATCCCGGCTGAGGCAAACGCTTTTGCACACCACTCTACATCATTGGGTTCACTGTAACATCATAATACCGCAATAGGCGGTTAAATAAATTGATTTCCAATTTCTTGAGCTTTTACAGTTTATTACCACAGCCAATCGCCTAACTCCTCTATCGGGAAGATTTTTTCTTTTTTGTAACGCGCATTTTTCTCACGAACACAAAGCGGCGATTCCTGTGAGCCCAACGAATCCAGTTTTTACTGGACAGACCGGCCAAGAGATCTCTTCCGTTTTGGGCACATACATCAATGTTTTTGTTCACGTATTGACTTGTTTCCATTCTAGATAGTTGAGATGACATTTCAAGGCAAGTAAACTTTGACAACTTTTTATACGCAATCATAAATAAATTTTGTAAATCTCCTTTATCACAGGATGAACAAATATGGAGCACTCAAACAGTATTTAAATCCAGAGAAGTTCATCTGAAGACCACTGCAGCAGCAAGGTCGGAAAATGTTTCCATCTACATAAAGAGCACCAAAGTTACAAACGGTAGAGATCACTGTGGAAACACCATTCTTTTTGAACAACAACGCCCGCTTTCATGTCGTCAAACCAACGATGCGGAAGATCAAAGTAATTAAAATATCAGCAAAGCATCTTCAGATAATATCATAAGTGTGTCAGTGATACATAATAATTATGAATCAACGTGCATTTATACGATCTTTGGATAAAAATTGATATAGAACAAAAGTTTCTACGCGTTTTGAATAAGGAACTGAGGAAGGTGACTGGAAAGTAGTCATTGAGTATTTTAACTGGCCAAAAAACTTCTATCACATAACATCTAACAATGATTGGCGATATTTTCTAAAGGTTGCCAGAGTAGTTCCTAGCAGTACTGCCCAATGTAAATATTAACACTTCCCGGACAACAGTTGATCGTTCTCCTCCAAGCGGCACGCGATTTTCGTTATTTAACAAGGGATTTTTTGTTTCGGAGATGAATTACAGGTTTCTTGTATTTCTCTGATACTTTATAATTTCGCCTTCACGCCCACATACTTTTTGTGCATGTATAGCTCTTGAGTGCGAGGATAACTCCTAGACCTAGAAAAAACGTAATCTTCTTTTCGCTCCTGCAGAGTACTATGATGACCTTCCCAATGACCAAGTTTAGCTTCAGAATCACCAAGGAATGCGCCATCGAATAATTATTAGAGCCTAATGAAAAGCCCTCCACAGTCCTTAACCGTTCAAACAAAGCACGCTGAGGTAAAATAATCTATCTTCGCTGTTACAACGCAATAAAAAAGTGTTTCCACATGAACAGTGCTAAAATCGCTGAGATTAACACTTCTGAGTACCTGCTAGGATTTAATAGAAAAAATGTTCAGCGAAAAAGGCGGCTAAAAAATCGTGTATCGGAAACGACTCTCAAAGTCCGCAAAGTGTTGATGATTCGGCATGAACATTCAAAAACCTATTGACAGTGTTTTTCGGAGACTTGTCCCAGTTAAGAATTATTATGAGGTTGTCCTGAGTGAATTCGTGCAGATTACATTACACAGTCAAATTTGTTCTTATAAATTTGAGGGTGTTTCGCTTTTGTTTTGCTGTCAACTTTCTTTCATGACATATTGATTTCTGTTGTAAAAACTATTACTGCCGTCACTTGCTCATCCGATTGAGAATAGGCTTAATAATGAGTATGGCAGAAGATGTATAGTCACATTGCTGAAAGTCACCATCAATACGTACTAAATGTATTCATTTAACTTGTTCATTTCTTGGGCATGAAATTCACCCTAGACTCTCAATATGGCTTTTCAACAAGCGCACTTGTTTATAAAAATTCATTGAAATAAATTTGAGGGTGGGAAGACCTAGTGTATTCTGAGATAAAGATTAATATGGTCAACTATGATGCAACTGTGTTGCTTTCGTCGAGTAAACCCCAGAAAATTCAATATGCATCATTGTTGCGCTTTGGAACCACACAATGCATTCCGTTTGCTCGAGAAGCACGAACGACATCATATATTTATCATAGAGCCCTCTACCTCGCCACTTATTTTCGGTTATATGTCAATGGTTAACTTCTAAAGTATCAACCGATCGGAGCTCTGCATTGAAAGCACTATTTGTTTAGTAGCCATTAATCACCAGAAACTCCACAAACTAATTTTTTTGAGATTAATGTCCTAACGTTTACCTGAAGAATTAAAGAAAAGAGCTCAAAAGTGGTTTGAAGAGCTTAAAATGGTTTCAGAATTGATTTTCGTAAATCGTAATTACGTAATTACCGCCTTGGGAAGGGGAAGGGGTCGTGGCCGACGTAGCCGAGTGGTTGTGATGCTCGTCGCAGCGCTGCACGGGGATGATTTCCATTCCCCGATACTCTCCGTCAATCAACAACGATCGCCCTATGGAACACCTTAGCCAGGCTATCCTCGAGACCGCAAGGAGACATGCTCAGTCAATATTCTACGACGTTCAACAAGACAAAAAGCGAATTCAATACTAAAAGTGCTGGGATCCATACAGACAAAAAAAAACCTGTGAGACTAATCAAATAAAGTACTGAAATGAAAAATTGCCGCATCAGGGAGCACCGTAGTGTTTGCTCGGTGCTCTAGATGTTACGGGTTCAAAATCTGCCATGTAGGTTTGGTTCAGAAGCAAATGTCCAACTCTTTTGCGGCTCTGACATAAGGACAAAACACTTGCGTTCCAGCAAAATGTTTCATGCCTAAAACACGCGATCACTTCCTACGTATTGAAACGGTGGTTAAAGAACGATTAATGTCATGGTGGTTTTCCAAATCAGTTTTCTATTTTTACTGCCTGCTAGATTAACTTGTATCCGTAAAAGTGCCAAGAAATGATGAACTAACAACTCCATGAAAAGACTACTTATTCTGCCCTATAAATAGCAAAATAGACAATTGAAGATTGAATCAGCTGCCTGATCATATTCATCTGATCACCAGAGGAAGACTGCAATGAACATTAAATTACATAGAACAGTAAGGAAGCAGAGTGTTTAAAATAAATCTTCTAGAAAGAATCATTTTGATTTTTTTGAAGCTGATCGGACTCCAGCGTGTTTCTTGGGGACAAGGGAGTATCGATTGAACTGAATAGTGTTTGACTTGTTCGTCGAATTATTACTAACACGCAGTTCCTTAGTCGACTTGTCAAAGCAATAAAACGAAAGCGTTCACAGATGCAGACACCATTGAGAGCAGATACGCTATATAGGAGTGAAAGTAGTCTGATCTGAAAGGAAACAGGTGTTGTTCATAAGGCTGTATGGGCAATACTGTGAGAACATGTACCTTGTGGGACATTGTCGACCTATTATTAGTTGCCACTTCCGCACAATGACGAATAATCGAAGTGCATGCAACAATAAGTGAAGCACAATGATTAGAACGATAGAAACGTAGCTCGGAACTCTTGCCGCTGCCGGATTAGATCTGGTTTTTTCTAAAAAGACGTGAAATAAGCTGACAGCTAAATTCGAAAGGGTTCTCGATGACAACATGACCTCTAGATTTTTTTGATGACATCACTAGAATAAAATTGAAGTGGGAAATTTGTGTATGCAGGATGTTTACTACTGCATAATTCGGACATTTCTTGAAGCAAAGTGTTGTCCAAAAATTAGTCGTGAAAAGTTTTATTCAAACTCTCACTACTTTAGTAGGCGATAAGAAAGCAAATGAGTTTTATATCTCTAGTTTTAATTTTGATTTCACAATTCTGAAACATAAATATTTCAGTCGCGGCAGTCATATTGCAGAGCTATCCCTGTTTTGGGTCACGGTATCAAGCGCAAACCTAAAAGTCTTGTCTACTTTTCGTTGGACTACGGTGAAGTCAATGAAAGAGCTTTGTGTGCCTACTGCGCTGTACTGAATTATGCCTACTGTACTTTTGCATGTGTGTTTGTGGGTGGGCGATTAGATCCGCGATTTGAGTTTCCTCTCAGACAAATTTTCCGAGTCGACAATCTGTGACTCAAACAAACTATCCATGAGCAAATAAAGAGTTTCGCAAAAAAAACTATGACGCTATCGGTGGAAGTAGTGATCTGGGAGGAAGTTTAGTGTCAAAGGGTCGATTGAACGTTTTCTTGCTTTATTGTACTCTTTGTTAGAACAAAATAAATCGTCATCATCTTAAAGACCTAGAAAGGCTCCACGGCACTAGCAAAAAATCATGAAACAGGTTGTCATGCAGGGAAAATTTATTGCTCATCAGAAAAGAAATCTTACCGAGGCAATATTGACGAATTCTGATAATTTAAAAAAGTAGTATCAACTTATAGATTTTGTTTATGCATACATTAATGGATCTCGAATGACATACCAAGCATTCAACCAGGGACAGAGTGAACACGTATTCCACCCATACCTGAGCGCTTATATACATATATATGCATATATATGTTGGATTCGTGCACTATCAGCAGGTACCTGGAGCTTTATTATCTAAACTAACTATTAGATGTAGAATTTCGTTTACCCAGCTACTTGATAATAGCGAATGCAACAGAGACTACCAAACACCTGCCAATAGCTTATCGTCTCGCTATCACAAAGGTGGTGTTATCGAGTGTCCAATTCGATATACCCGGGGGAATGCATACCGAGTTGGGATTTTCAAGAAAAAGGTTCGATATTTCCAGTTACATGGTCAGCGAAAAACAAACATAAGTCAGGAATCGCTTCCGTACACGAGAAAAGCGTAGTAAGGTGGCGAGCTTCCGTATAATCACAACAGATCGCAGCTGACAGTAATGACTTCTTGTGAAGGCATTTGTAAACGCTTTTAGATTAGATTGGGAAATGTTGCAAATTAACAGAATTGTCATATATACATTACCTTGATCTAGTTCCTTTGGAGAAGAGATTGCCCAATTGCCGATATTCTAAATGGCAGTTTCGAAGTATTTCAGATAGAGTCATTAACGAGAAGGAACTCATCCATATAAATGGTATGATGTCATCCAAAAGTGGATCAAATATGGAGTGATAAATGAACCTATACGGGGAAAGAATCTGAAAGACTCATATATAACGTGAATAAATAGAAATGTTGATATACCAGAATAAAAATTTCGCTGTGTGCACCTTCCTTGCAAGCTATGGTTTATTATGCGTTTTTTTACTTTAGGACTATTTATTTGTAAGTTTCGAATTCCCTACTGTATCCGTCGACAACGTTTATTAGAGTAACGAGTTTCTGATTGTTGTGTACCGATATGAGCGTCTATCAGATGGGAACTTCGCGAATGCAAGGAAAACTGTTACTAGTGCAGTTTTTGTAGAAACTCTTTGCTCACAGTACTAGTCAGCAGTTCTATAATTGCGCAAAACTAAGCAGAAAACTCATTGTATCTATACAATCCCAAGATTTCTTGTGTTTTTACTCCTTCTTCCTAGTGTTATGATGTTTCAAATACTCCTAAGAGGGTTGAGTGCTATGCAAAAAGTCAACCTCAGGTGGGATTTGAACCCGCGTCTACCCCATACCGAGGACGCGTGCTACTACTACACCACAGAGCTCGACGATTACTCATCCCTCATTCTTCGATATCTTTCTATCATAGCTGTCAGCTTTCAACGGCTTTGCAGTGTTATGATGCTTGAAATAATCCTAAGAGAACTGAGTGGTAAGCAAAAGTTCGACCTCAGACGGGAGTTTTCGCACTGTTATTATTCAGATAATCCTAAGAGAGCAGTAAAAAGCAGTAAAAAGCAGTAAAAACATAAGAATTCTTGGACATATATAAGTACAATGCATATCAGCTTCACTGGATTTATAGAGCGGTACTGCACACCCGACCAAACCTGTTAATGGTTTGTGGTTGATAGCATGATAGAAAGATATTGAAGAATGAGTCGTGAGTAAGCGGTGGGCTCTGTGGTGTAACGGTAGCACGCGTCCTCAGTATGGATGCGACGCAGCTTGAACTCCCGTCTGGGGTCCAGTTTTTGCTTACTACTCAATTCTCTTATGAATGAGTAAAAAACTATCACTCTTCTTGAACTGTTATCTCCCAGCATATATAAAGCAGTAATTTGTGATCATCTAAAGTTTTTTGACTGAATTTAAAGATAAGGTCAGCACAAGAATGTTGTCTTACCGGCATCATATCGCTTCATACCTCAGTCATGGCGATTCTCCTAGTGATGAGGAGGACTGGCCTCCAACGAAATTGTAGTTCGAGTACAAATGTCGGAAGACGGAATAAGATGGCCATTGCAAACATGAACAAGAGCATGCAATGAGCCTTTGAAGCCGTGTCGTTCATTCGAGCAGCAACAGGTCGAGATACCTGCAACAAATAAATAGAACTCGAGCATTTTTGGGCGCTGATAAATCGCTTTTGTTCTTAGTGGATGATTTGACCAGCAAAATATAATGTAAGCCAGTACGAGTTGTTATTAGATTGGTGCAAAAGCAATGGCAGTTTCGGTTTCATGAATCTCAAATCATGATAACTAGTCTCAAAGCAACTTTATCAATAAAAAAAACGGAAGCACCACAATAAACACATTTTCGCCAAAGGAAAATGTGTTCATCCTTGCAGCATAAAAATCGGTGTCTTGGGATTCAACGAACTCTTGGAAAGTATCAAACCTTTCGTTTCGAGTGTTTCTTAAGACCACGCTCAAGTTCTAATATGCCAAATAATCTTTTGTTCACTTTTTAGCCAAGAACAATCAAGTGTACAACACTACCCATTCAGTGGTAATTTCACTTGATGGACGGCATAAAATTTTCGTCGTCGCCTACTCTTAGTTCGGGGGACTGGAACACCCCGACAGGACTGGCGTAAGACGAAGGGTACCGCGCGACTGATGAGAATGTCAAGGTTGAAACACGTGGATCGGGCTCTATAAGTTGCCCTATGACAAAGCACATGCGTGGCTCAAAAAATAATTATCTGGCATATCTTGGAAACGTGTTTGTGCATTGTGTTCATTGTGGCGGTGTTTTCCGTGGAAGAATTTATGGGGATTTCACAAAAATGGTAGTCGGTGGACGACTGTGGAGATTAAGGCAAAACTTTGTAGCTCATTTCGATCAACTTCTTTTCGTTGTGCGACATTCATCTGTCGGCTGGCTGTAGTCAAACCTCCATTACTTTTGCACGGACGTTGCCTTCCCAATTTGTTACAAATAGTGAACGACAGTAGATTGGTTGGCGCTGAGTTTTTTTTGCGGCATCTCGCATACTCATTTGAATATTTGATCTATGCATAAAGTATTCAAACTAAACTTATGCATTAAAACTACAATTTGACCACTCGTATTTCATCCTCTCTCTTATCAATCATACAAGAGGACATTGATAATTTGCAAACAGCTTACCTTCCAGTACCGATGCGCAGAAAGCGCAGCAATCGTCCAAACATGCATTGTGTTCACAGTAGCCTCAATCCTGAACAAGATAATTCATATAGTCAAACTACTAATGGCCATCATAGAAATTCAAAGCAAGCAGAAGTTTATAACCTTGGCATTGTGTGTTTTAGAAATCGCCTTTCAAACATGCAGAATCCGTAAAATGTATGATTGCCAGAATGATGGAGATCGCAAACTTGTGGCTCAGCAGCAGCAATTGTCATAGTGAACACCTGAGCTTGATCCATAATCAGTAACGCCTTCAGATATGCAGAGCGCCAGACGTTATTCGAGGTGGCCGGTACAGAAACACCTAAAACTTTTGCTTACTCGATATTTAAGGCTTTGGACACGATTGATAATAAATCAGAGGTAAATGTATTCAGCGCAGAAGACTCTGCAGATTGTCCGCAAAAGATTGAATCATCATCTATTCACCTTGGATGCTTTTTATTCTAGAAAATAGAGATGTTGTAAAACTTGGGGAGTAATGGATTAACGCCGTCACAAATCAGGTCTTGTTTATTAGCTAGCTACTGGAAGAACTGAATTGTCAGTAACATCCATTAAGATTACAATCTGCTCATTCAACTGGTACTCATTACCATCATAAAGATGAAAGAAAGAAGAGAGTTTAGAAATCTGGCAAATTTTGTCCTCAAAAGTCTCGTTATGACACGTCAGCGCGACGTCAAACGAGCTATTTGTGACCTCGTCCGAACATGAAACAATGTGCAGGAAATCAATATATGTAAAAGAAAATGGGAAGGAAAAAAAGCTTCATCAGAGATTAGAAACTTAGAGATTATGAAGGGCATCTGCAAAAACCGTCAGAAAAGTCGCCACTCACAAAACAAACATTGTTGCCTTCAAACGTTGAAATCTGCTTACTTTGAGGGGACGTGCATTCGTTTTTAATTTCTAACTTCTCTTGAAGTGATTGAATGCCATATCTGGCCTTTATATGGCTCGTGGTGGCCTCCCGCTGTATCAAGTCACTGCTGCTTATCCTTTCAGACAAGTCCGCGTCGCGTTCACTTTCTGGACAAGAAGCTGAATTAAAAGCGACTTTCAAAGGCTCTCCGAAAGATTTGTTTGATAGCTAGTACTCGTTCGTCGAAGGTGTTTTTACGAATGAAAAGATATTCACGGTCAAATCAGTCCACAGTAGTTAGAATCAACATTAACTTCTCAGGATGGGTCAGCAGAAGTTTGCAGGAGCAAAACGACAGATCGCAGTCATATTCTGGCTTCTGTGATGGTCGGGGCGGACATTTGCGCCAATTGTGAGATGCGGTTTTTCATCAGCAACAGAAGCATCAAAATCAACGCTGCCAGCTAACACCATCGAATTTTACGAGATGTTCTGGAGCCTTGGACTGCTCCACACTTTGGCGCCGATGATATAGGCATCCGCAGGACTAGCCTACTGCGCATTCGGCCTGCACAATGATTGGCATTTGTTAAGAGCTTTTCCACCTTTTGGGGCAAGGACATTTGGCCGCCAAAATCGCCAGACCTAAGCTCAATGGATTAAGTTGCGTGGTCCATACTAGAGAAGAAAGTCTATACTACTCGCTGCGGTACCATAGACGCGTTTCAAAAGGCTTTAACGCCTGGGACGAGATTACGGTGGAAACGCGTGCGAGTTTCGAGAAAGACTTCGTAAATCTATAGAGGCCAAAAGAGGCAATTTTAAAAAATAATTACAAACTTTTTGTTTCACGTCATAGTTGTTGATTCAATAAACGTAATCATTCCTTCAACTGAATCAATTTACTGCTTTATGCAGTATTTTATTACTGTGAAAATATCTGAAAAATTGACAGAACTTTTCTCGCACTTTAAATTTATGTATATATATATATATATATATATTATATATCCACGGACCTCCCACTTTGAGGGATCCCGCCCGGTTAGTCGCGAGGGCACGTGGCGCGTCCCCAGGTGGTGGATAGGGGAATAAAACGCGAACCAAAAGCGACCGTGTGCTTCCCAGAGACGCAGGTGGATTCAGGGGACGAGCTCCCTGCTTCTGCAGTGCCGACTTGACAAAACTCTATTTCTACGAGTCAAGTCGGCCAAAAGCCTGCAATCAAGCGGCTGGGAAGTACATGGGAGGCGGTTAGGAGTCGCCTGCAACAAATAAGCTCCTCCCGCTCCTCCGAGAGAGACTGGCAAGCTACTCGTGAGTACCCAGCCCCCACGTTTAGAGCCTGGCAAGCTACACGTTGGGTATCAAAAATGCCAAAAACAGTAACAAATATGGGCCTCATTCCCCTGACCCCGAAAGAGCCCCTGGTACGGCAGCGCCAGGTAGGACGAGTACGGAGAGGCTACTAAAATCTCAGGGTCGAACTAGGCTGCCAAGATCGAAACGGACTAAAATGACGATCTGTACCTACAATGCAAGAACCCTTGCTCAACAATCCGCTGTAGAAGATATGTTGATTCAAGCAAGAAGAATAAGGTACGACGTCATTGGCCTGGCTGAGACGAGAAGGCGCCATCCTTTTCACGCTGTCTATGACACCGGAGAAGAACTGTTCCTTGGAACATGCGATCGCAGAGGTGTCGGTGGCGTTGGCGTCCTCGTCAAATCGAATTTGACCGTGAACATTGATTCGTTCGAACAACTAACAACCCGCATCGGACGATTACGGTTGAAACGATGTGGTTCTATGCCGGCTTTGACCATCTTCGTTGCTTACGCACCAACATCAAGCTATGACGAAGACGAAGTCGAAGCGTTCTATATGGACCTCGAAAAATTCTTCAGAGAAGATCATACATTCTTCAAGGTTATTGTCGGAGATTTTAACGCAAAAATTGGACCTAGAAGAACGTCTGAAGAACGTCACATTGGGACCCACGGACTAGAATGGAATGAACAGGGTGAGAGGCTATCCGAGTTTATCATGACGACCCAAACCATCCATGGTAACTCGCAATTCCAAAAGCCTCTCTCTCAGCGATGGACGTGGGAGTCTCCCAATGGAGAGTACCATAACGAAATAGATCACATCATAGTAAATCGAAGGTTTTGCCTGACCGACGTCGCTGTTGTTCCCAAGTTCCACACGGGATCAGACCATCGCCTCCTTCGCGCAACGTTCCGATTTTCGAGAAGAGGAGAGAAAGCCGCTAAATA